TTTTCAAATAAAAAAAAATGTGACTTTTTATTTATTTACGATATTTTTAAATCGCTATAAGACCGACTTCCCAAGAAATTGTATTAAAAAGTAAAAATCTTTGATCAGCATTTTTAGGAAACCTGTTGTGCCGTTGCCATATAAACAAAAACGCTCCAGTTATAATATATTATGTACATCAGTACGTTACAAGTGGGTCACTGTAAGGGATTGTATTAGGTACATTTTAATGTGATATAATATTATTGTATAAGAAAAACAATTCTGAGCGTAACTGTCAGCCTATGATATTACTAAGTACATTTGATGATATTATTGTGAATAAAGTAATTTATATATATCATATTTACGTGTAACCTTGTTTTAAGTTTTCAATCCTAAGATATAAAAGTTTACAAAATCATTTTTATTTTTTTAATTTTTAAATATTCTCAAAAATCGAACATTAAATGCTTATTAAAGAAAAACTGTGACTGAGAATTGTTGTTATTTTTAAACTGCTTTTTTAACAATATACCAGGAGCCAGGAGCCTAATATTATATTTTCACGATTTTTTGCCCAACAGATAGTATTTTATAATATTCATAAAAATAAAAATAAAAAAAGGTAGGCAAGTAGGTGTCGCTCTGCTGTACAGTAGGTTACAAGTGGGTCACTGTATAATGGATGATATAAAATTTGAATTCAACGATATAACATAATTGTATAAGAAAAACGATTCTGAGTGGAGACGGTATGTCAGTCTAGGTATAAGACATATTATATACGTATCTAAGATATTAAACAAAAAATTGACCTACAATAGGTACCTATAATAAATTCCAAATTAATCATATCACAATATCTATTAGGTACTTATAACGCGTTATACATCAACAAAAACCGTGATATTATCATAGATATATAATAGTACACTTTAAAAGTTTCAAGTACCCACGAATAATATTATTCAATCACAACAAAATAACTAAAATAGTTATTCTAGGTTTTTTAATATGTAATTTCGTCCAAATTTGAATTTAAAATGTCTGTAAAAAATAAGTGTGTTCATATAAAAAAAAAAAAACACACTCATTGTAAAACCAATACAAATAATGCTTCGCTTTTCATCTTTTCCGGTGGCAAAGTGAATCTAGTAGGTGCATAGGGAATGTCGAAATGAACAGTACCTACCTAGTCTCAAAAAGCGCCGGGAAAAACGAAAAAAAAAAGGGTGGGCAAGTGGGTGTCGCTTTGCTGTACAGTAGGATACAAGTGGGTCACTGTATAATGGATGGTATTACATTTGAATTCAATGATATTATATCATTGTATAAGAAAAACGATTCTGAGCGGAGACAGTATGTCCTTCTAGCCTCTAGGTATAATACATATTATATAATTATCTATGGTATTAAAAAAAATTGACCTATAATGAAATCCAAATTAATCATATCACCATATCCATTAGGTACTTATAACGCGTTATACACCAACAACAAACCCTGATACTATCATAGATATATAGTAGTACACTTTAGAAGTTTCAAGTACCCACGAATAATATTATTCAATCACAACACAATAACTAAAATAGTTATTCTAGGTTTTTTTTAATGTAATTTCGTCCAAATTTGAATTTAAAATGTCTGTAAAAAATAACTGTGTTCATATATTTTTTAGATTTTTTGGTAACAGTATGAACTATTTATGAGAACCTTTGTTTTAAATTTGCAATCCTTGGCTATAAAAACTGAACATTTTATAATTTATTAATTACAATGATTGATAATTTTCGAGATTTTGATAAATTTTGTCAAAATTCGATCTTTAAAAAAAAATTGTGCCTATGTATTTTTAATATTTTTCAATTGCTATTGTAACAATATATCATTAGCCTCGAGTCAAAATATTTTCAAAATTATATAATGTATAGGAAATGCTAATATAAATATTCAGTGAAATTTTCATGTAGGTATCTACAGTTATTCGTTTTTGAATTACAGTAAAATAAGGAAATCGCTACATGAGAAATCGAGTGAATACCCAATGTTGTAAAATATTGAATTTCAAACGCTAATAAAAATTTAATTTGAATTTCTTATAGACATTTTTTTTTTGATAAAGGTAAATAATCTTATAAGGAATCTTGTATTACATTTTAAAATCTTAGATTTAAAAAGAAAACTTTTTATTAATTTCTAACTCAAAATAATTTGCAAATGTTCGTTATTTTTACGTATTTTGTCAATATTTGAACTTTAAATGCTTATAACAAAAAAATGTGACAAAGGATTTTTAATATTTTTCATCTACATTTAAAACAATATACTAAGAGCCTTTTTTTAAATTTTCAAGCTTTCGAAACCAACAAATAAAATTTTATTGATAGTTTTAGAATAAAAAGTAAAAAAAAATGGAAAATGAAAATGTCCCTAAATAGTTCAAAGCAAATCACAATATTTTAAAAATCTTTATCCCGTTATTCCTTAATTTTTATGTATTTAATCCCGGCGCTTGTGAAAACTATTGGGAATTTTAAAATTTGACCTCCCGAATGCATCAACTAGATTCACTTTCTAATCGAACAAGATACTGAAGTGGAAAATTTCGACTAGTTATCGTGTACACAGACACGAAAAAAAAAATTAAAAAATTAAAAAAAACACACATCATTGTAAAATCAATACATTCATCGTTCTACTCAGAATCTAAAATTGAAATTTGAAATTGTCCGTAACAGCTTCAAACGTTCATAATATTTTTAATCTGATTTGCTTGTAGACTTTTTTTTTTTTTGATAAAGGTCGACAAACTTATAAGGAATCTTGTATTACGTTATCAAATCATAGATTTAAAAAGAAAATTTTTATGAATTTATAATACAAAATAATTTGCACATTTTCGTGAATTTAAAGTATTTTTACTTTTGACCCCACCAAAGTACCAACTAGATTCACTTTCCTATCAGAAAAAATACTGTTGAAGGTGTAACGATCTTGGGGTGCTCGGTACCTCTGAATCCTAATTTTCTTATTACCTGGTTATGTCGGTCCATCGTATACATCGGTATAATAATAATAACTATGTACTTATGAAATTGGTATTACTCCTTAGTAACTGGCTTACTACATCTCCCCCTTTAAAAGTTGATTTTTCTCGTTTTAGACTATAAAAATTAACTCAATCATCCCTCCATTAGTTCAAGCACTTCCATGTGGTTACTAGTTACATATATCAATTATTACATTACATTCAATTATTACATGTTTACATAATATGTTTTTTACAGATATTTAGTTACATTATTGAATTATATGGTACATTCCACCATATTTTTCTGGTTATATTTATTAAATATTATTGACAAATACAGGTTACAATCCACAATATTATAATATATATTTTGCTTATTATCTAGGTTAGTATCTTATGTGATTAACAATATATTATAATTTTTTTTTTTTGTTTTTGTTTTACAACAATAATCTTATCTTAGTGTTAATATAATATGAATTAATCCTTTAATATAATATGAATTCTTAAATCTATTCCATTTTTTTTTTTCGTGCAATATATTATATATATGATAAAATAGTGGTGTGTTATATATATTTTTTTTTCATTACCATGTTAATTATATTTTAAATAAGTTAGATTAATATATTTATTTTTCCATCACCATGTTAATTATGTCCAATATATGCTAATATGTTCCTTTATGTATTTGTATATTATTGTATAAAAAATTTAATCCTAAATTTTCCTTTTTTTTTTTTTCATTTTTTTTCATTTTTTTTTTCTTCTACGTTTACGTCTGTTCCTATATATATATTTTCCATTAATTAATATATTATATATCTAGTTAATATTACTATTCCTATTTTGTTATGTGACTATATCTTTCTTCTACAAGCCCAGACCAGCAATAAACTATTGTATTCAAGTTCTATTACATGATCAAGACTAGCATTAAATCGATTTTATTCTATTCTATTGTCGTGTGCGTTTTTATCTTGTTAATCGAACCCGTGACGTTAGAGTGTGCTGTAACTCAAAGCATCATTCCACGACACTGGCTAAATTAACAAGACCTTGTCCTTGTAATTTCTTATTGAGATTTATTTGGCCATTTGGTCTATTGGTGATTCCGTTAAAAAAATCCGTTATACACACGATTTTCGAACCAACCACCAAATGATCAAATTCCAACATTTTCCTTAAGTTGTCAAACCGTTCGGTACATAATAGTGCACCATTTACCAATCTTCAATAATAATAGATCAAATATGCCCCTATTATCTACCGCCCAATTTCTAATCTTATTCCTTTTCTGTTTCTATTCTGAAATTAATTAATTTAAATTACTATTTTAGCTCTGTTCTAATATTTTTATAACTAATACTAGTATCTATCCTTACTTCCTGCTATTTTTATTTACTTTAATTTGTTAATCAAGCTATTTGTTAGTTGCCATAATAAAAGGTATAAATTCATAAAAATTATATTTCACAACGTGGTGTTCTGTATGTGGTATTGTTTATATTGGTTGGAATTGTTTTACCAAGTTCTGGTACCCATATTCCCTAACCATTCTGTTGAATAAGCATTTGGTAAATCTCACATCCGTCTTTGGGTCGTGAGCGTACGTTATCTTGTGTTTTTGTGTACAGATGCCGTTATGCGCTTCGGTTAAATTCAACATTCTACCATTTTTCTGGATTTTACCTACATTATATTCGAATATTCTCTCGGTTGTTTTTCCCTTTTTACACGTATATTCCATATATTCGTCTCTTGAATTTGGCCACTATGAATTTGGAACTTACTAATTTCTTAATAGTCCTATCGACAGTGATACCCGGTGGTCGCATGTTCTTATAGAATATTGTCGCGACACCCACCGTGTTTCATCGTCAACCCCCCAAAAATCAACTAGCACATTCCAACACTATTTTTTTTTTCATATTTTTGCTAACATATTTCTTATATCCTATTTATTTATTTTTTTTTTTTTATACTACCAGTCTTCATCATTATCCCTAACTATGTACCTATCTTCTACTTCATTAAAAATACTTTCTATTTCATCTAAATCATCCCTAATACTGAGTAAACCCATAACACCTTCTCCATAACCGTTAATATGTATAGTCCTATAAATGTCAATATTACTATCACTAATTTCTTCCAATTCATCCATATTACTAATTGTACTATTCGGTGCTATGTCCTTTAAATTATCACTATCACTATCCGACCACCACAGACCATCTGCTTCAGTCATATTCCTACTAATAGTGTTTGATACTACATCACTAATACTATTGTTATTACTAATATTATTATTACCACTAACATTACTTTCGATATTATTACTATGCCTTAGCCTATTCAACCTATAATTATTAATATTCATATAATTTGTCCATGCTTCTTTATTTATTTGTTTATTTAATTCCCAAAATTCAGTAATAACCCTATTCGCCAGTGTTACGTTGGTGTTTAGTAGTTCTTAATTTTCGTTTCCAGTGAGTGCAGACTGCAGGTGGTTCCGTGCGGTTGTATATTATGCTTGCTACGCCTACGGGCTTAGCTCCGACTATTTCTGGTATTCGGTTGACGTCCAAGTGGTAACGAAATGGTATTGTTGATACATTGCACGCGTATGGGTTTCGGAACCAACTCCATAACCCTTGACATAATTCTACTATTTCTGGTTGTGGAAACCTACCAGGAAGGATGTTACCCCGATCTCCATAGTAAACGTCAATTAACTTTCTAAGGTTATGTGTGATAGGTCCCATAGGTTCTTAACCTGTGTAGCGGTATATTTCCACTTCGCATATGTAATTATCATTTTTCTTCAGTATCATTACCACCAGACGACCTCCCGCCTGCACACTCATAATCATTTCAAATTCTGGGTCTTCATTTGTATTGTCGCCGAGTTGCACTAGTAGTCTGGTCCCATCTGAATCAGTGACCACCAGTGCTGTTATCTCTTCTTCCCTACAAGTTCTTTCATTTTAATAATTTGTTTTGCTATTTTGTGTTAGTCTAAACTACTATTGCGTTAACTACTTTTACTCTTACACTAATAAAATTAATCTCTAGCTACGCATTTTTTTTCTACAATGAAGCTTGTATTATGTTAGCCTGTACTAAACTACTAGGAATCTAATACCATGCATACTTTATTCTACAATAACTTTTATCTAAACTATAACTATTTACTATCATCAAGTCTATTCTATATTCTATCCTATCATATGTACTATTCTTAATTCATATATTGATCTACATATTCCAATAATATTTCTGGTTCCGGTATATACTCCATGTGTTCGACTAATTCTTGGCAATATTGGTTGCCGATTCTTCCTTTTGACATGTCGTAGAGAAATGTTGCCATGCTTTGTTCCATTTTTCCTATTTTGTCTTCCGAGAATGGTTCAGCTAATTGACTGTTCGCTAATTGTATATGTTTTGTTAAATATGGTGGTGTATTACTTCCGTCGCCTATCGTACATTTTTCATGTTCCCCATTCACAATGGCGAAATCCAGTTTGATACAGAATGACTTGTATGTTTCCCTATAATTAGATTTTTTTTCTATTACTTAATGGTATACTACCTAACATTATTTAATTTCATTAATTTTAATTTAATTTTAATTTCTATTCTAAAAAAAAAATTTTTTTTTTCAAAATCGCGAGTTTGCTGTTTCGTCGCGGGCTCGTATTTTATCCATTTCCTTACAGTCCAATGTTCGTACAAGGTATCGGTATCTCTCCTTTCTGACTAATCTATAGTGTTTCACTATAGTTGTCGTTTAATAGCATTATAATTACTATTACTCCTAGTATTCCGCATACTATATATAGGTAATTAATTATACCTTCATCTGAAACGCACACAACTGCTTGTTCATTATTAAATATTATTAATATAATAACTGTCTTGTGTTGTTTAGTAATTTATTATATGCTCACTTTCTGTGGTACTTCGGTGTTGTACTGATGTTTCGTCCGTAATATTATTTAATTCGTAATTCGATATTGTATGTCCGGTCCTTGCTGCCTGTGTAGTGTGACCTACTGTGCTAGTTATGTTTTTATAATCATTATTGACTTCCGTGACGTTGAACTCGATTGACCTAGTTGTCGTTGCTGTGATAATTTTTGGCATTGACATGTTATTGTTTACGATACGTTTACTCTCATTAAAAAATACTACATCGTATTCTATTGTATCCAATTTGATTTGCTCGGTTGTGCCATTCCTGTTTTGTATATATACTGTACATAATTTTCCCTTGGAAAATGTATTTCCCTCAGAAACCCAAGTGAACTTCCGTTCTTTTTCTCCTAGTGTTTCGCATATTAATTGTAATGTTTCTATATCACGTTTGTCATTCTGAATTTGTGTTATATTTATTACATCACTTTGATAACTTGATACATCCGTTATTCCTATTCTGCCTTCCATCACATCGTAATATAAAGTTATTTTCGATTTTTTGTTAATTGTCTCTTCCTGACTTATTCCGAATGCTATTGTCAGTAATGAAGTCCACCTATAATATACATATACTTTATTCTTTATTTTAAAATGCCATCGCGAGCACATCCCACGCCGACTTTATCATTTATTGTTATTTTTTTTTTTTTTAATTTAATTTGTGTACTATAAGTATTTCGTATCCTATACTATTTCTATACTATATATATATATTCTACTATGTTCTATAATGATATTTAGCTATCCTATCCTATTATTATTTAATTAGTTATGATTAACATTTTCGTCATGTGTTTATTCGTTTTCTTCGTTATCCACATTATTGTCTTCGTAATATAGTTTCACATCGTTTTTGTGTACTAGCTGTTACTTTCTTGCGATTCCGTGATATAACTACATTTTCTGAATCTAATACGTCCAGTACTTCATATGGTCCCTTCCAAAGTGGACTTCATTTATTTCTTGAGTATGATCCTTAAGTAAAACCATATCCTTGACTTTAAATTCTTCCGTTTTTGTTTTCTTATCATAATATCGTTTATTTACTTCTTTATTCTTTATTAATCTATTCCGTGCAATTTGATGAGCTTCCTGGAATTTTTGTTTAAGATCGTATACGTAATCATCATAATTGTACCGCGGTTCTGGTTTTGCTTTCAGTTTAACTGGTATATTAATATTTTTTCCATATAATAACCCGTATGGTTGGTACCTAGTGGACGTATGTTCCGTCGAATTGTATACAAACATGGCGTAAGGTAAAAGTTCATCCCAATTGTCTAAACTTTTACTTACGTAGTGTCTTAAATATTCTGCCAATGTCTTATGTGAACGTTCTAGAGCCCCGTTGGTCATTTGATGATAACCGGAAGTCTTAATCTTGTTGATTTTTAACAATTTGCATACGTCTTTGAAACAATTTGACATGAATTCGGTGCCCTGATCGCTTAAAATTTCATCCGGTATCCCGTGGATACAAACAAAATTTATTACGAACGCTTTTGTCACCACGTTGGCTGTGTGACAAGGTATTGCTACCCCTAGGCTGAATTTTGTTAAGTCGCATTGCATCGTGAGTATATAATTGTTACCTAACCCGGTTGTAATCAAAGGCCCTACAATCTCCAAAAATATTTTTTCAAATGGTTTCGTACTAGTTACATACTATTGTTGTGATAATAGTAGATAAATAGCTACCAGTACGTTAATGTGCAGGTCGCAGACACTTTATCTGATGTTGAAGTCGTGGTTGATGAATGAATAATAAGACAGTTGTTGTATATTGTGAATTTTATTATAACAATCGATAAAATTTTCTAAGTCCAAAATAATATTGTACAAAGTGGCGTGAAGGTGCTTGCACTAATGGGTGGCAGTACACGTCTGAATACAGGCCTATTCGGGCTCCCTTATATATGAAGTTCCCTGTGCCCCTCGCCTACAGATACGGTAATATTGGTTCCCACGGATGTGATTTGTGTGGACATTAATCCAGCCTACGCATTTACGACTGCATGTATTTCTACATTATGATTATTATAACAAAATCTTTTTTACTCTTTTATATTTTGATTTCTGTAAAATATTTCATCCGCTTATTTTTTGAACCCTGGTGTTATTTATGTTCCCTAATCTCCCGGTTATGCCGGTCTACCGTATAGTATCATAACTATGCACCTGTGGAATTTGGTTTTATTGTTACTGTCAAATGTTACTACGCCTATCTCTGAATCCTAATTTTCTTATTACCTGGTTATGCCGGTCCATCGTATATTATAATAATAACTATGTACTTATGAAATTGGTATTACTCCGTAGTAACTGGCTTACTACAAAGGAAATCTAAGCAGTTTTACTGTCCTAAAAGCAGGGCTTGAAACCGAAAAAAATTTTTCCGGTTTCGGTTTCGGATACTGGTTTTGATTTTTTCCGATTTCGGTTTCGGTTTCGGATACCGGTATCAATTTTTTCCGATTTCGGTTTCGGTTTCGGATACCGGTATCAATTTTTTTCCGATTTCGGTTTCGGTTTTGGATACCGGTATCGATTTTTTCCGATTTTGGTTTCGGTTTCGGATACCGGTATTGACTTTTTTCGATTTCGGTTTCGGTTTCGGATACCGGTATCGATTTTTTCCGATTTCGGTTTCGGTTTCGGATACCGGTATTCATTTTTTCCGTTTCGATTTCGGTTTTTAACGGTTTTAACCGGTATTCAAATTCAGTATCGAATATCGGTTTTAATCCCTGTATTTATAATAATTTATAATGACATAAAATACTGGCGTAGGAACCTACTTGCCAATCGCCAAACATTGCTTGGCGTACGATTTGGCGTCTGGTTGCCTGACAAGTACTATAGTATTTGCAATCAATGATAATATTTACACTGGAATGAATACGTAATTATGACGTATTTAGTTATAGCCTCTCCACTTCATAACACATTTTCCAAATGTTTTGCGACCTAATTTTTTAAGAGTTTGTGTAACTTCATCGTTTATAAGTTGAAACTATTTTCTCAATGAGGGGCTAACTTCATGTGTGTCCCACCCACCACATTAATCAAATTGATCACAGCTTGATTATATTATACCAATCTAGATTAGGTATATTAATCCAATATAGTATGGTTGGTGGTGGGTTGGTAGGGAGCACATTTTTCAGTCGACGGCTTTTAGGGAAACCCAGACAATATTATGTTAAGGCCTTATAATGTATTATAATAAATTATAAATTATTTATAACTATACTATAATTATAC